ATCCCCCCCTACGGGGCATCCGACGCTTTCGTCGTCCACGGCGGCCCTGCGGATCTGTCGTCGCAATCGCCGTCGTCGTCGTCGTCGTTGTCGTCGTCCGTCGTCCGTCATCCGTCGTCTGCGTCGTCGTTTGTGTCGTTGTCGTCGTCTTCGCCGCCACCGCCGTCGTCGTCGAGTCCAGCGGACCTGCGCATCCCCCCCCCCCATGGGCCACCCGCAGCGCGCATCCGTCGTCGACGTCGGCCATGCTGTCACCCTCGTTGTCACCTACAGCGGGTTCACGCAGCCCCCCCACAGGAAACATTGCAGTGGAGGCTGTCAGGGGGATGGGTTGGAGAAGGAGATGGAGGAACCGGTTCCGCCTGCCTTTGCCGCTCCTCCCCTTCTTTTTCCCATGAGTAGTCGTGTCGGCACCGCCCGCCAGTTGTGAGGCGCCTGCTCCCGCCTCCTCGTTGTTTCCTGTCTGTAGCGAGTTTGTCCCAACCGCCCCGCTGAAGCGGGAGCGTTGCTGTCTCCTCTGTTGAAGCGTGGCCGCTCGCATCGCGTCCGTCGCCCCCCAGCTGTCGGCCGCATGTCGGCGCTAATCACTGGCGCCGCCATGGTGGGTTTCCATCTAGCGGGCGCGTTCCCGCGATTCGCCCGAGCAGGGAAACATGTAAAACTAAGCGCGCGCCTGTTTCTTTTTTCAAGCGGGCATTCCTTGGGGGCTTGCCGTGTGCAGAACGAAACCTCATCAGATGCCGCTACCCACCTCCTTGGAGGAAGAACAGGTACCGACACCGCTGCCCCCATGCCTCGTGTTCGCATCTTTGGTCCTCCTCGGGAATGCCGTCGATGCCGCGCCTCGGGACCGCTAGCAACATTCACCTTGGGAGAGGTTCAGGGAGCACCGGTATATTGGAACAGCCCCCGCAGTTGCGGAAAAGACTGAAGAGGTGGTTCGGTCGTCGGCAATCAGCGAGGCTCTGATGAATTCTGCTGCAGGCGCTCATTTTCTACAAATTGCTCCACGAGTCCGCCGCAGGCGCCGATTTGTAGTTGAAACGGCGTGGGTGGGTCGCGGGTGGGTTTGCCAGACAGTCGCGGGTAGGGCCACGGGTGGGTCGCGGGTGGTTCGCGGGCGGGGCGCTGGCAAGGACGACCGCAACAACAGTCATCATTGTAGTAATGTTCGTTCCTCTATGTTCGCGTGCCCAAGCCCTCGGTTCCTGTCCTCTTCGTCTTCGATCGTACCCCCGTGAGGTATATTTCCATTGCCCGCCACGCGTATGTAGAGCAGCCCCACAGGCAGAGGAAGAGAAGACGCATAGAAGGAATGGACAAGGAGGACGGTGGAGGATGGAACACGAGAGAGAGTAGCAGGAGGCGCCGTGGTGACGATGATAACGATGACGACGGCAAGGCCAATGACGGCGCCTATGCTGACCACGCGTTGGTGACGATGACGGTGCCCTCGCGTCGGCGGAAGAAGGTTTTGGACAGACTTCGACATGCGCGCGCGGCCGACGCGCGCGAGTGGCCCGCACGGTGTTAATTGACAGGGATCGCGCCCCCTCCCCCAGCACGCGCGCAAGGGTGTTCGAATGGTATCGGCATTCGGCGCGAGAGGCCCGCTTGGTCGAGTTCGATGAAAGCATTGAAGGCACACTAGTTTTCCAAGGATTCGCAAGAGAGCGCGCGCTAACCTTTCTTGAACACTGAGGTTTCAAAACCACGAGTGTTTCGATATGTTTTCGTGCCGCCTGGATGTGGAACTCCTGCGACACATGCTGTTTTTGACGAGTGTGGAAATGATCGCGCGACGACGCACGCGTGCGCATTTCGCCCCATGTTGCACAACACGTTTTTGGCGACAACGCGATCGCAGAGGCGTTCGGGCGATATCGGCATGCGCGCGCGAGAGATGCACGTTTGTTATGGTTTCATGGGCGTGTTGTAAAAGTTATGTCGTGTTGCAGAAGCTGAAGGAGCGCGGCTTCATATATTACGAAGGTTCCTTTATGAGAACATGCTCTTGATAAAAATTGTTGTCGGGCCTTTCGACTTCAAAGTTTTCACGGGGCCTCGGGTTGTGGTCGAAAGTTAGAACTCGTGCGCGAGGACGCGCGCGTGTTATTTTCATTTGTCTTTTGGGCGCATAACCGTTTTCCCAAGGATGAGGGGGGGTCGCTAATGGACTGCGCGGGATGGTACGAATAGGTTTTCAGAGTGGACGAGTGTGCGCAGACATAAACGACAGAAATACGAAAACACCCGGCGTGGCGTTGAGTTCTTGAGGGGGTCGACCCGACTATGTTTCTACAAAACGATATTGTGTGTGGTGCAATGTATGCGTTGCAATATATGTGTTGCAGTTCGCGTTTCCGAACTTGAAATTGTCGAACCCACTGCCCGCGCAATCATCCCACCCAGACGCCTGCAACTTGGCATGCAAAACCAATTTGGAAACGATTGCGATGGTGCATTAGCGGCCGCGCTAGCCCGCGCGTGCTCGCGCGCAGCGGCCAGCTATTCTGGCGCGACCGACCAGAACGCGGTGGCGGTGACCGCTCGGCGCATCCTTGCGGGCACTTCAGTGGGAGTCGGCGGCTTGGGCGGACGCGGTATCATGGCGACGTCGACAACGGTAGACACGGTGATGATAGTAGCGATGTTGGTAACGATGTTGGCAGCGACGATGGGGCAGCAAATGACGGCGCAAGTGCTGAGCACGCCGACGACGTCATGCAATGAATTTGACATGCGCGCGCGGCAGACGCGCGAAAGCGGCCCGCACGGTACTAGTTGACACGGATCGTGCCACCCCAGTACGTGCGCAAGGGCGTTCGAACGATTTCGATATTCGCACGCGCGAAGCCCGTTTGGTCGCATCTTTGGACAACCATGAAACAACTGTGTTTTTTTGTTGTACGAACTCGTAAACGATCGCGTTTTTTTGTTTTTAAGTATTATTACATCTGTTTATAAATAAGAGATCCGCGATGCGAACAACATTACTTTGCAGATGTGTTTTGGACACTCGGTCTTGAAACCCCTGTGAAACCGAAGGGATTTGAAACGATTTCGGGATGCGCGCGCGTCGACGCGCGCGTGCGCACTTCGCCCCGTTGTTTTGCAAAGTATCCTTAAACATGGCTGATTTTGTGTAGACGAGTGCGCACGTTTTTTTGCAGAGGATGGGGGGGGGTAATACGAGCTCGGCTTGGATGGTGTGAATTCATCGGATGAACGGTGGGCAGAATCAGATGTACTGTGCAATACGAGAAAAGAAAGGGGGCGAATAATCCCGGGGGAGGGGTCGAGTTCTGTTTTGAGGAAAGCGAGCCTACGTCGTGCACAATAGGTTGTGCAATCTACGTGGTTGTGGAATATATCATTCGTAACCCACGTTGTGCAACTGTTGTGGTGCAGTCAGTGTTGTGCATTTCCAGATGCTGCAGTATATATGCTGTGCACCCAATGTTTTTGCAATATATGTGGTGCGCATGTTGTGGGCGATCAAAAGTTGCGCCGCAAGCGCGATTATTTTCCGTGCAACCGACGTGGTGCAATCCAACGGCGGCGACGGGCGGCGACGTGGCGGCGACGGCGGCCACAGCCGCCAGACCGATGGCACGGCCCAGACGACGGGCGGCGACGAGGCGGCGATGGGGCGGCGACGGCGGCCACATAGCCGCCAGACCGAAGACACGGTCGGGTTCCTTAGAACAACTCAGAGCCCAAATGTGGAAACAATTGTTTTGGAATGAGGATTCACTGCCGACATCCACTCGGAATCCGCGCCGCGGGAAACTACTTCATCCACTCAGCCAGGGACGGTGCCAGACCGTTCGGCCTCTCTCACCATGATCTATGTGCATTGCCACATCGATATCTTCTTGCTCCCTTCAAATTTGACGTTGTCAACAACTACAACATCGCACAATCACCACCAGAGCTCCTGATCCCGACTTCACATGAAAATTAAGCAACCGAATCGATCCCCACGGGCTTGGGGGCCCGAAGCCGGGCGGAAACGCTTGTTGCGACATATTTGCGGTGCCATGGCCTCGTGCTCCCCCACAGGCCGCGGCCGCGGGGTGCCCGTGCGTGGTCGGGGGGGCACCCGGGGAGGCCCGGCAGCACGCGCTGCTGGACCTCTACCATGGGCAAGAGCGGCTGGGTGCCTGCGCGGGGCCGCCCACGGCCGCGGCGGCCGAGGGGGCGGCTGCTGGCGGCGGCATCGGCCTCGACCTGGCGCCGCTCGCTGCGGCGCTCGCCGGCGCCGCCGGCAGGGTGGTGCTCCGGGCACACCACGGAATTACAGCCACAACATGTTTTTTTTTTTTTCTCTGGGGGGACCCGCCAACCCGACATGAACATTGTGGTTTGGGTTGCGGTCGATTCGGCCGTCCTGGACGCCTGCATCGACCACGACAAATCTGGTTTCGGCGTTATGACGACTGTTGGCATGCACAATACATCCCACATGGAGTGCCCTCGATGTGGTTGTGGTCGCCTGCTATCCCCGCAGGTGCGGGGGCCGTGGCGGCGGCTGCTGCGCCAACTGGGCCTGGGGCGGGGATGCCTCCGCGGGGCGCTCGCAGAGGTCGCGCACCAGCACCAGCAGTTCCTCGAGCTGGGCACCGCGGCGGTGCAGGTGGTCGGCGCGTCCGCGGTGCTCCGCGCGCACGCCCCGGAGGCGCGGGCGGAGCTCGCGCCAGGCGACCAGGCGTGGCTCGAGGCCTCCGTAGCGCCCGTCGCGGAGATCGCGCGCCTTGTTTGCACGGCGCAGGTGTTAGGCGTTCCACAGGCTCGGTGGCTGCACGCGCAGCCGTCCCTGCACCCGAGCCAGATCCACGAGGCGTTGGGCGACAGTGCCGGCTTCCTCTTCCTGCGCGGCCACGGCCGCGCCTTCCCAATTCCAGGAGGCCCTCGTTGCGGCCGCCGGTCAGATCCTCCCCGACCAAATCTTCCTGCCTCGTGGGGGCGGGAAGGCGGGGGCGGAGGGAGGTGGAGAGGTGGGGGTGGGTTGGACCGGTGGGTGTTGCAACGAGGGTCTCTCGCTATCACTGTGCATCGCAGCGCGGACGTTACCACGTCGCTCATGCGGAGCGTCTGGATCAACGAGAAGAACATGGCGGATCACAGCGCGGAGCTGGAACAGGAGGTTGAGGAGGCCGCGGACTCCGGCAGGTTCTCGGACATGCTCATGAACACGGCGGTGGACGAGTCCTGGATCGTGCAGCTGCAGACGTTCGCATCCGGCCTGCCGTGGGTGCCGGACGTGCCCGTCCTCAATGCCATGCACTCGCCAGCGGTTGCCTTGGGCGACCTGGTAGGCCTGCTGGCGGGCGGTGGCCGCGAGGCGCCTGCCGGCGAGGGCGAGCAGGCGCGTGCGAGGCGCGACCCCGCCAGGTGGAGCGGCGAGCCTGTGTTCTCGCCGTTCACGGTGCTGGACCGTGCGCCGGACGGCAGCTGGAGCCCGCGGCGGATGGCCGAGGACCCATTCTTTGGGCCCCTGGTGCAGAACCTGTCCGCGCTCGTCGGCGGGGCAGCGGCCGGCGACCTCGGCCAGGCCCGCGCGAGGGCCCTGCTGGAGGGAGACGCGGCGGCCATCTGCGCAGCGGAGCGCGCCTTGGCGCGGCGCGTGGCGGCCAGCGGCGCCGGGCGGGGCGGCGCGGGCGTCCTGTGGCTGTCGCTCTGTCCCGCAGCGGGCGAGTGGCGGGACGGCTGGAAGTGGCCGCTGGCCGTCGTGCTCGGCAGCGCCCAGGCGCTCGAGGCCGCCGCGCCGCGAGGGGGCTGGGCGCCGCTGGTGGGGTGGCTGAGGCGGCGCTGGCGGCGGGTCATGCGCCACATGGGCTGGCGGAAGGGCCGCCGGGCGCTGGACTGGCCGCCGCCGGGCGAGCCCGGGGAGGGCGAGCTGCCGCCCCTGGTGGGCGTGTGGCCGGAGCTGGTGGCCGGCGCGCTCCAGGCGCAGGCGCAGGAGCCCCACCTGGTGCAGCATTGGGGCCCCGAGGGCGGGCCCTTCGGCGCCGGAGGCGCCGCCGTGGTGCTGCTGGACGCGGCGCGGGCCAAGTGCGCGCTGCAGTGGTCGCCGGGCGCTCGGGCCCTGGGCGGCGGCGGCGCCTCGGCAGCGCGCCGCGCCGACTCCGCGGCCTGGTGGCGAGGGTGCCTCCGCAGCCTCGCGGCCCGCCACGCCGCCGCACAGGCCGCCCCGCCGGCGCTGCTGCCGGTGGGCCACGCCGCCCCCGACGTCTTCGCGGGGGGCGGCGCCGGGTGGCCCGAGAGGCCTTCGGAGCTGTGGCGGAGGCTCGGGCTGGAGGCTCGCCTCTCCGACCCCGCCGGCCCGCGGCCAGCGGGCCTCGGCGCCTTCGGGTCCTGGTGGCCGACGGTCCACAACCTCTTTGCGGATGCCGGTGCGCTGGCCGGGTGCGGGGACTTCGGCAGCGCCGACGAGGGCGCTGCCGAGGTCGCCGACTGTCGATGGGCGATCGTCGGTCGCCTGATGTCCGAGCTGAGGCCGTGGGAGGACTTCGTCGGCTCAGACACGCCGGCCCTGATGGCGGCCGTCGTCGTGCTCGCCTGGCTCGCCGACGAAGGGGTGGTCGGCTGCGAGGAGCACGAGTCGGAGGAGACCGGCCAGACGGAGTGCGAGTGCCGCGGGGAGCTCGGGCCGGATTCGCGGGCGACGGAGGTGGCGAGCAACATGCTCGAGCTCTTCATGGAGATAGTGTTGGCCGGCCAGCCTGGTAACCTGCAGAGGCTCTTCGGGGAGCTGATGATCAGCGACGCCTGGCAGGAATCGAACAAGCAAAAAACTGTATGAATAGCAGCCAGCGTGGACTCCAAATATATTAGACGACTCGAACCAAGGAATCAAAGGAATCGAGCATGCTTGGAATCCGCAACTCAGCAAGAAAGCAAACAAGCAAGAGTGCAAGCAAGCAAGCGTGCAAGCAAGCAAGCATGCAAGCATGCAACCAAGCAAGCAAGCAGGCATAGGCGTAGGCATAGGAGTTGGGGGGAGGCACAGGCATAGGCATAGCCATAGGAATAGGGGGGCATAGGAATTAGGGGGGGCAGCGGACCAATTAGTACGGTTTGAGCTAGGGCTCCTATAGGGCAATCTTATTTGGAGAATGTAGTCCCCCAGAGGTCCACGCGGATTCCATGGATCGGCGTGGGGGGCCTCCCTGGCGGCGCCTCTGTCGCCGCCCCCCGGCGTCCTCCGCGCGCCAGGGAGGGGGGGGGGGTCCAGCGCCGAGGCAAGACTTCCGCGCGCCCCTATCCCCCAGGATTTTTGAGGGGGAGGGTGGGGTTCACTTTGCTCGGGAGCTCCCGAACGAAGTGAACCCCCCCCTCCCCCTCAGAAATCGTGGGGGGTACGGGGTAGGGGTCGCATGTGGCCCCCTAGCGCGCACCTCAGACCTTCTGTTGCCGCTTGCTGCTCCTCCGAGGCGGTCTACTTCTGCGCCCTGCAGGGCGCAGAGCCCAGGACAGCGACGCACGAAAAGGGGGTCGTCTCCGCCGGCGCCTGGCGCGTAAAAGCGTCCCGCGCGAGGTCGCGGGCGCGCGCCCTCGTCGTTTCCCAGCCAGAGTGCACTGCGCCGGCGGCTCTCGTCAAGCCACGGCGTGAGTTCGCTACTCTCGTCGCGCAGGCATCGGGCGCGGAGCGAACGCACAGGCACAAAGAGCTGCCGATTCCCAGGAGCGTGCGGGAGAGATGGGGCCCCGGGGGGGAAGACGGGGCGAGACTCCAGAGAAGATGTGGTAAGGGTACGTATGGGGGGGGGAGCCTCGGACTCGCGTCCGTGTGTTCGCGTGTGCCCCTGGGCCCCTGGAGTCAGACCCTCCTACAGTCGGGGCCCTGAAGAAGGAACCCTTTTCGTTGCGAAGGGGCTCCGCGTTCCTTAAGTGTTTCGCAGCTTGCCTCAGGCTTTCCTCATGTTTTCGACCGGAAATCGAAGGTTAACTTATGGAAACAAGGGGCCTCGTTCCTTAGTTAGGGTTCCTTAGGTCAACGCCCCTCCTATACTCTCCACCGCCGCCCAGGAGGTACCTGGCAGTGGACCGCGGCGGCCCGGAGCTGCCGCCCCGCGCCCGCGCGCGGCTCGACGAGGCGGCCCGCGGCGGCCGCGCGGCGCCGCTGGAGGAGCTGCTGGCGGGAGGGGCCGCCCGGGAGGCGCTGGTGACCTTCCCCGACGGCGGGCGAGAAGAAGCCCCCCTCGCAGGCCAAGAAATGGGCACCAACACCAACACAGAGGGTTGCCTCCACAGGGGGAAGACGATCCTCGATTTTGGTGTTGGTGGCAATAGTTCGGCCACCTTGGAAGCCATAATATTACCACCATCACCGAGATCGGGATCTTCCTCCCTCGGTGGATGCACACCGCCGATATTGGTGTTGGTGTCAATCTCTAGGTCGCAGGCCTAGAGGTTGACACCAACACCAATATCGGCGGCGTGCCTCCACCGAGGGAGGAACATCCCGATCTCGGTGATGGTGGTAACATTCTGGCTTCCAAAGGGACCGAAATATATATATTACCACCAACCCCGAAATCCAGGATCATCTTCCCCCCAGGGAGGCAGCCCCCTGTTTTTCGTGTTGGTACCCATTTCCAGGCCTCCAACTCCCGGCTGAGCCCGGGGGCGGCAAGGCGGGGGGCGACGACTGGGGGGGGGGGGGGGGATCTCCTGGCGGGGGCCACGGAGTCTCCCCCGATGGCACATGGCGCCCCTTCTGCCCCTTCTTACTTCACTGCGTCCCGGGCCCCCCCCCCTGTTGGGCCGCGCGCGTGCCGCCGGCCATGGTTTGCGGCCGCCCCCCCCCCCCTCTTGGACCGCCCCTCTCGGCCGCCCCCGACGATCCGGGATGCGTCCTTTCCATGACGGCCCCGTCGGGCCAACCCGAGTCCCCCGAACACCCGAGTCCCCCGAGCCCGAGCCCTCTTCCTGCACGCCCTGCTCCCTCCTGTTCCCCCTCCGCCGGGTCATCCTTCCGGGTATTCTCCTCAGCATCTCTCTTTTTCTTCCTGTTGCTCCTCACGCCCCTTCTCATTCATCTCCCCCTCTCACCCTATCCGCCTCCCTCTCGTCGTCCTTCTGTTCCTCCCGTCTCCATCCTCCTTCTTCCCTCCCGGCGCTATCCTCCCTCTTCCCCTGCTTACGTCCCTTTCCCTTTTCCCCTCTTCCTCCTCTTCCCCTTCCTCCTCCTCGGCCCCCCCTCCCCATGCCTCCTCGTTACCTCGTCCCGTTCGCCCTCCTTCCACTCCTCCGCCTCCCCCTCCTGGCCTCCACTTTCGCAGGCTGCCCACGGGTCGCCGATGGCCGCCCAACCCCTGATGACGAGCTTGGTGCCCTTTCAAGCTGTGAGCCTGTCCCTGAGATCCGACGTCACGAAAAACATGCAGCACGGCAAGGAAAGCTCGAGCAGGGCCCTGGACCCCATGTTTCTGCGGCACGTCTCGAGGCGGACCGATCCGTGGGGGCCCCGGGGCCCGAACCCTGGCGAGGTTGTCGGGGTGCGGGGCAAGAGCAACGCAGGGACAGCGAGCTTGGTAGTCCTTCCTCCCTCGCCCCCTTCCTCCCGCCCTCCGCCTCGCCCCCCCCCCCCCTTCCCCCGTGCTAGAAGAAGGCCACTGTGCTAGTAGCAGCCTGGGTCGGCAGGGCCGTGCGGCCCGCCCGTGGCCTCCCTGGCCGCGCAGCGGCGGGAACGGTCCGACACCGGAGAGGAGTCGACTGCACTCGGGGGTGGACAGAACCCCCAACAGTGACACGTCGATTAGTGAATTGTCCGTTTTCGGTTTTCGAGAGGGCGCCGTGGCCGTTATTTTCCAGGCTTGCGCCCGCCAGGTTAGGGCACGAAGTCGTTTTCAATACACCACGTTTTACAAAAGGGAGGTTTGTCCATCCCCGATACACGTATTCTTTGGTGCGGGTCCCTTGGGGTCCCCCGGTCGCCGGATGCGATGCGACCGGTGCGTCTGGCGCGCTTGGGTTCAGCTCCCTCCGCGGCTCCCCCGAAGCCGCGCACCAAAGGCCACTCTTGCCCAGGGTCACTCTTGCGTCCAGCCGAGAGGAGGATGGAGGCCTCCACACTGAGCCGCATGCGGTGGGGGCGTTCGTTGCAGTCGAAACCGATGGTAAGGATGGGCAGGCTCCCCAAGGGTACCCTTGCAGCCTCTTCGGTCCATCCGTAACCACTCGATGGCCAGCCCCGCTCGAAAAGTCTCAGCATGGGCGTCCAGGGGGCCTGCATCCTTGTTGCGCAGCAGTGTGCCCACGAGGCCTCAGACCCTGGCGGATTCCTTGTCTGAGTGTGGGCGGCGGTGATGTCCACGGCCTGTCTCGATAGCTGTCCCACCGGCCATCAGACCTCGGTTTCCTTATCCATGGGTCCGAATCGAGTGCCCTCAACGTTGCCGATGCATCGCCAAAGCGGCGCGAGCCTCCGCCACGACGACGACGACGACGACGACGACCGACGACGACGACGACCGGCGACCGACGACGACGACGAGCGACGACGACGACGATGACGGACGACGACGGACGGCGATCGACGACCGACGACCACGACGAGCGAGCCCAATCTCCCCCTCGCCAGGGGCATCGGCGCGAGCCCCAGTAGACCCTAGCAGACCCTAGTAGACCCCAGTATCCCCGCGCCGCCGCCCGCCGCGCCGCCCGAGGCCCCCCCCCCACGGCACCCCGCCGCCCCGCGCGCCGCGGCCCGGCCCTGCCGCATGGCCGAGCGGCCAGGCGCGCGCGGCCGCCCATGGGGGGGCGGCAAAGAGGGGGGCGATGACTAAAAAGGGGGGGGATATCTAAAACGACGCGAAGGTCGAGACAAAATCGGATCGGGATGACTCGAAAGCTCTGAGAATCGGCGGGTTTGGAGGATGTATTGGGCGCCGCGGCCGCTCCAGAGCGTTCCGGAACGCTCTGAGAGCGCTCCGGAACGCTCTGGAGCGATTTATCCCGATCCTAGCCCGGTTTTAATATCATGGCGGCGGCCATGATATTTCCCCAGATTTCACGGCGCCTCTTCTTCTTTCATTGCGTCCCGGGGCCCCCCGCTGGGCCGCGCGCATGCCGCCGGCCATGATTTGCATCCCCCCTCTTGGACACCCCCCTCTTGGCCGCTCCCGGCCTGGGGGGGGGGTCAAGAAGCCGCGGCGCGTTTCGCACGCTTCATGTCGAGCCTCGAGCGGGGAGGAGGAGAGGGGAGCGAAGAGTGGCATCAACACAGAAGCACGGAGGTCCGCGCGGATTTCTCGGATCCGCGCTGGATGCCCCTGGCAGCGCCTCTGGCGCCGCCCCTGGCGCGCTCCGCGCGCCAGGGAGGGGGGTCCAGCGCGGATCCAGGAAGTCCGCGCGGACCTCCGAGCTTTTATGGATATAACATTTTTCGTTCCCCTAGAGGAGGCTACGCGTTTCGCCGTGGTCATCCTTCCCTCTGGTGCCGACGCATTCCACCGCGCCCGGTTTTCTTCGACAGTAAGATGGGCGCGTGCTCCACGATCACACACACACGCGCGCACCTTCGTCGCCATGCTCAAATGACGAGCATCGTCCACGATGGGACCAGAGGTGGAGCCCAAAGATGCAGTGCACAGAGGGGGTGCCAAAACACCCCGGGCACACACGCCCTTCCGGCCCATCGAGGCCCTGTTGTGCACGTGAAGTAAGCAGATGCTTGAGCGGCCAGGCTCGCGCGGCCTCCCATGGGGGGGGGACAGGGCAACGTCAGAGGGGAGGGGAGGAATGTCAGAGGAAGGGGCACCGATGCCGTTGCCTTCTTTGAGCTTCCCGGGAGGCCCTCCTCGCCAGCCCCTGGTTCGCCCCCAAAAATCCTGGCCAGAAGTCACCCCGGTAGAGGTCCAGGGAGCTGCGGCATCGGCACCTTCTGGTTCCCCCGGGAGGGGAGGGCATCATCAGTTCGTGGGCGGAAGCGTATCCGCATCGGCGGCCTCGCGGGCTGGGCCCGCGAGGCCGCGACCCCGCGGACACGGGGCGCGTTTTCTCGCGGGTGCCCCGCGCGGAGCGTGTCCGTGCGAGCGCGCATCCGCAGGATCGTGCCCCAGAATCCAGACCTCGGGGGCGCGGGTACGGATACTCCAGATTTCGTAATAAAAGGGAGGAGGTCTGGACCCTCCAAGACAAGCCATTTCAGACCTCCCCCGTGGGACAACCCTCCAAAACATCGTTCCCGGACCCCCCAGGCCCTCCAAGATAGCCTGGAAGAGACCCCCCCCGAAATGAGACCCCCCTCCCTTGATTACGAAATCTGGAGTATGTTCGCTGCCTGTGATCAGTGGAGGGAGGGACAGGTGCCCGCCGTCAGGGTCGCAGTCAGGGTTGCAGCGGGCTGGGCACTGCGTCTGTGCAGCACGGGTTCGGGCCAGCATGGAGGGGGGGGAACAGGTTCGAGGTTCTGGGTTCGAGAAGGTTTTTACCAAACAGCGTTTGCTGATAGGTTTCTAGTAGGGCCAAAAGAGAGCATCATGACTCCTCAGGGGGGTCTGGGCGGGTGCCGGGGAGGAGAACCGGGAATCGTTTTTCGCAAACAGTCACACACTTCGTGCTCTTCGACCTCCCAGAACTCCATTCCCGGGCCACATTCTGGAGAACCGGGAACAGAGCCGGGCTCGCTTTTCGCCAACAGTCACACACTTCGTGCTCTTCGACCTCCCAGAACTCCATTCCCGGGCCACATTCTGGAGAACCGGGAACAGAGCCGGGCTCGCTTTTCGTCAACAGTCACACACTTCGTGCTCTTCGACCTCCCAGAACTCCATTCCCGGGCTACATTTTGAGTGCCCGGAGCCAACTGTAGGCCACTTCGTGCTCTTCGAGTTCCCAGAACTCCATTCCCGGGCCACATTTTGGATGCCCGGAGCCAACTGTAGGCCACTTCGTGCTCTTCGATTTCCCAGAACTCGATTCCCGGGCCACATTTTGGATGCCCGGAGCCAACTGTAGGCCACTTCGTGCTCTTCAAGTTCCCAGAACTCCATTCCTGGGCATGATTTTGAATGCCCGGAGCCAACTGTAGGCCACTTCGTGTTCTTCTAGTTCCCAGAACTCCATTCCTGGGCCACATTTTGAATGCTGAGGCAGGCTGATGCTGCGGCCGAGGCAGGCTGAGGCTGAGGCAGGCTGAGGCTGAGGCCGAGGCTGAAGGCAGACTGAGGCTGAGGCTGAAGCAGACTGAGGCTGAGGCTGAGGCAGGCTGAGGCTGAGGCTGAAGCAGGCTG